TTTTTTTAAATCCCGAGTTGGGGCAAGTCGGGGGCTGAGTTTTTGGGAGCATCCTCAGTTGGCTCACCCTGCTGGCAACATACTTACACCCCCCCACACAGTTCTTAAAGAAGGAAGGGTATAAAAATGGTAAGCTCTCTCTCTCTTTTCTTCCCCACTCCCCCTTTCCTTCTTCCTCCAATTCCAGAAAGGAGATGAGCTGGAAGAAGGTGTGACCAGCGAAGGTACGTAAGCAGCCCAGGGAGCGAGTTGAAAAGGATGAGCTGCCAGGCGACGGGAAGACCCCTTTCCGAGCTGCCCCCAGCCATGGACCGCAGGGACATCCCGCCCCCCTCCCACAACATCCGAGAGAGGGGAGCTTAATGAAGCCTAAGAGGGTGGGGAAATGTGTGGCTCTACCTGGCCTTCCCCTTCCTCCCTAGTTCTGCAAACTGGATACGTGGGAAATGTAGGCCGGGAAGAAAGATTGCTGGAAATGGTGCGGGGATTCCTGCTTGAACGGGGTTGGACTAGAAGACCTCCAAGGTCCCTTTCAACTCTCTTTATTTTGTTAAAGCTTGCAGCCAGCCTCCCATTTCTCCTCTGGGCAATCACACCAAGCCCTGCCTTTTCCAGCAGACAGGGCCACAGCTGACCCCTAGGGCAGTCACCCCCCAACCAGGCACTCCTCAGGCTGTTCTAGGGGGGGGATTTTGACAGGGAAGAGTCACGAAATGGCCTTGGGACTCCCAAGGGTTTTTTTTTTTTGCAAGAGGCGGCTGGGTTTTTCTCCGAAGGCCTTTCGCTTCTCCTCCGAGAAGCTTCTTCTTCAGAGCGGAAGAAGCTTCTTGCACGAGAAGCAAAACCTCTTCGAAGAAAAACCGGAAAGTCCGGCTGCCTCTTGGGGAAAAAAGCCCCCCTGGGACCAGCGTGGGCTGGAGGAGGACGGAGAATCTCCGGGGGGGATATTTGGTCTCTGAGCCTTCAGCAGTTTTTTTCCTCTCGTTTCGAACCTTGCAGAATTCGACCGCTTCCTGGAGGAGCGGGCCAAAGCCGCGGAGAGGATCCCCAACCTGCCCTCCCCTCCTCAGGAGGAGCCCACACCGCCGCCCGCCAACGCGCCGCCCAGCAAAAGGAAGACGGAGCGGTCCGAGGACGCCCTCTTCGCTCTGTAGCGGCCCTTTCCATCCCCCCCCCTGCACGGAAGGAGGAGGCCGGGAGCAACCTGGCTAGCCATGGGCCCCTTCCCGTCCCCGGTGGCCCCCCAACAGGTTGCCCTTTTCCCTCCTCCTCCTCCGGGGCTCGGCCCCAATTCCTTAACCTGGGGAGGGTCTTGACAGCCGTTCTACCCCTCGGCTAGGGGTGGTTTCTCCCCTCCCTCTCACCCCTCTGATGATGCTGAGAGTCCTCCCCCCCGCCCCGTTTTTTCTTAAGTCAGAGATCTGCATGACTACTTGGCACAGGTTCCGTCCCCACTCCCTTCCCAGTCCTGTCCCACCACTCCCCGCCCCCTCCCCTCGCTTAGGCACAATAGCCATGCCTTCAGTCCTGGCCTCAGCTCTAGTTAGGAGGCTCCAGAGCCCGGCCTGCGGTCCCTTCCGCTCCGGCCTCCTGCAGAAATCAAAGCAGGCCTTCCATCAGCATCAGCATCAGCGCCACTGCTACCTTCTCCTCTCGTTAGCTCTGCTTGGGAGGTGTTTGGGGGGGGGGTTGCTACATCAAAGCTACAACGGGAAGGAGGGTCACTTTGGTTAGCCAAGATACCTTCAGGGGTCCTGCGGCTGACGAAGGAGCCTCTCTCTCTCTCTGCAGGCCCTGGCTGCACGTGTTTTTTTTCCTCCCCTTGACCCCCCCCTCCCTTCCCTCTCTTAAGTAGGTCAGAAATTCCGTCCCACCTGTGNACCCCAAACTGCGAGTCTAGAATTTGCGCATGGCGTCCGTCACCGAGGTTAGTGAGGAGCTGGCGAGGGTCGATGAGCTGGCGTCGTAGCCCAGCTTCTTCATGTCCTTGGTCACCACGTTGAAGGAAACGGTGACGAAGCCTTGCGAGCAAACCCTGGTCACTGAAAAGGAGCAAAGGGAGGCTTAGCGGGGTTCGGCGGTTCAAATCTTGGGCTCAGGGTTGACTCAGCCTTCCGTCCTTCCGAGGTGGGGGAAATGAGGACCCAGATTGTGGGGGCAATGTGCTGACTCTGTAAACCGCTTAGAGAGGGCTGAAAGCCCTATGAAGCGGTATATAAGTCTAAGTGCTATGGCTATTTTTTTTTTGCTTTTTGCAAAGCAAGTCCATTACTAGTGAAACGGATCAGAGCCAAGATGCTTCTTTGGGGTTCTGTGCCTAACCCATGAAACACAAGCGCATGGCATTCGTCTTAAGGCTGGGAACTCCTCAGCTCCAGCGGTCTCCTTCTCGACCCCCCCGTGCTTTCTGCCCCTCCTAAACGTCTCTGTGGCTGGCATCCCCTGGCCAAAGTAGGAACAGCCTCAGCCATAAGCATGCTTCGTCTTTTGGCGACATTTGTGCCACGCATTTTTCTCTCTGGATCCAAAGGAATCTCTGCCCTCCAGAAGACCCCAGGCATAAACCCAGAGCCCTCCCAAGCGCGTACCTTCGCGGCCTTCGCCCTGGGCTACCACCTTGGGGTCAGTGAATTCGGGATATCTGCCCGTCAGCCAGCTGGGGAAAGACAAAGAGAGTCGAGTCATCCCACCTGGGGCTTATTCAACCCAAGTGCCGAGGACTTCATGCCAACAAGTGCCTATGCAGCTCCCAGCGGCCTCCGTCCTGGAATTTCTTCCTCCCAGAATATATAAATAAATCGCCACCTTTTCCACCAAAGTGAATATTCGTTAATCCTGTTTCACTGGCTGAAAAAAGTGCCAAGGGATGGAACAAGGGGAGGGAACGATGTAGAAGCCCACCACCAGCCAAACGTTGCTATTTCGGCAGGCAAAAGTATCTTTTTTTCAAAAAAGGACAATCCCCCCCCCCCCCCGCCAAACGTTGCTATTTCTGAAGGCAAAAGTATCTCTTTTTTAAAATGGAACAAACCAAATCCCCCCCCCCCCCAAATTCCCCC